AGTGAATCCCTGTCCCTTCTGCCCACAGGCTGCATGGGTAGACAAAACACTGAGAGGTGGCTTGCTGCCTTGTAGGAGGAGACACCTCACATCTATGTGGCACTAGAGTCAGGTGTGCTGAAGACCCACTATGTACCCGGTGCTGGTGGCTTTGGGCTTTGCAGAGCACTGAGGATTTCAAATACACTGACAACCAATCAGACAATTAGTAATCACCACAGTGGTGTGCACAAAGCACTCTGGAAACTGAGATATGAGAAGTGTACAACATGATTCCTGTCCTCCAAGGACAATTATGTTCAAAACACAGAATTTGATTATTTAAGCTATGCATTCTGTATATAAGCAAAATTTGTCATATTTTCTAAAGCCAAAATGAGTAATGACTACATTATTTGTACCCAGAAGGAAGGGTTTTAGGTTGGCACACTCCAATTGCTTGCTATATGACTCTGAGCCACTAGAGTAAACTCTCTACAGTGCCAGTTTCTTCATCCATAAAGTGGACATAATGCTAGTTCCTACTGTATCGAGCTGCTATGTCTTCAATGGGCTAAACAGGGCAGTCCTCAGAATAGCCCTGTTACTTAGTGAGTACTCCATGTACTAGGGGCTGCCAGAGATCTACTTCTGTCCATGAAAGGAATCTATAAGCTCCCCCAACTCCTGACCTCATTCCATTTCATCTACGATAAAAAAAGGCCTCAAAAGCACAAGTGGGCCAGACATGGTGGTGCACATCTTTAATCCCAAAACTAGGGAGGCAGAGGTAGGTGAATCCCTAAGAGATTAAGGCCAGCCTGGTCTACATAGTGAGTTCCAGGCCAGCTGGGCCTACAGGGAGACCCTGTCTCAAAAAGACAAAAACAAAAGCATAACAGCCAGGCCAGGCCTAAAGGTACTTGCTACAATACCAAGTTCCAGGCTAGCCAGAGTCACATACCAAGACCCTGTCTCAATGAACAACAACAACAAAAAGCACAACAGACAGAATGTGAGGTGACCCCTCAAATTTGAAGCCAGCATTTATCCCCAGAAGCCTGCGCTTCAGAGGTCATAAGAAAAGCATTTACATAGAAAAGTTGAAGAACATGGGTCAGGCATGAGAGGGAAGAGTCTGTTGCAACAATGGATAAAAAGGCGCCACTACCAGAACAAACCACCAGCGAAGGCTTGAGACCAAAGCCTTGTCTACCAAGATGACATCCCAGAGTAGTCACTTCATTCCTTTCTACAGTGAATTTCTGAAGGCAGAAAAAGGCAAGGCATTTGCCTCATTGAAGGACAAACCAACAAGATGGCAAGCAGCTTGCCCAGAACCTCAAGGCAGGTTGAGTGAGCCAGGAGCAAGAATACACGAATTCTGAACAATGCCACCGAACTTCAGTCAATGGTTTTCCAATGCGCTAGCTTTGTGTCTATGGATAGATCTGTCTGTACTGTCAGCTATGACATGGACAACTCAGATGGATTAAAGGTAGCACTGCTCAGGGAGCACTAGGAAGATCACTGGTTGTATGTGAGACACCTAATTCAAGGTCACAGTCCGGAAAGGAAGGCATTCTCCCCACACACTGAAGCCATCAGGGGCATCCTGGGATCTTTCCTTTTTTTGTTTTCTTTCGTTTTGTTTGAGACAGCATCTGGCTGTAGCCCCAGCTGGCCTGGAACTCACTATGTAGACCAGGCTGGCCTTGATCTTCACAGAGATCCACCTGCCTCTGCCTCCTGAGTGCTGGGAGCAAAGGAGTGCATTGCCACGCCGGGTGATTATTTCTTTTAATATTTCATTTTATTTGAATGCTGACATCTTTTCAAAGCCACACTTGAATTTGTGCCAAAGGAAAAATGATTCCTCCAAAGGCTCATCACCCATACAGCTTTAATAAAATATGTATACTTGTTTATGTCACTAAGAACACAGTGTGGTTCTCCTGTCTGGAACACACTAAACATCCCCTAGGCACCACACTCAAGACTTCTTCCCTGCCCTGAGCTCCGCCATGTTTTTATCTGAGAACTCTATCACACATTCTGCACTGACAGCTGGCTGGGATACCTTGTCCAGATGTTCCTCATGAAATGTGTGAGGATCAAAAAGGAGAATAGCCAGTAACTGAAAGATGTGCTACTAAATCTGGAAGCAGGGCTCTGGAGATGATGTCTTTAAAGAACAACTTGAGTAAAAGCTGTTTTATTTTTTAAGATTTATTTTTATTATTTTTAATTATGTATATATGTATGTGTCTGTGTGTGGATACGAACACACAACTGTAGGTCCTGGTATAGGCCAGAGGTATTGGATCATCTAAAGCTGGAGTTATAGGTGGTTATAAGCTGTCCTCCATAGTTGTTAGGTAGCAAACTCAAGTCCTCTGTGAGAGCAACACACACTGATACATGCTAAGCCATCTCTCTAGCCCCTTGGCTTTTCTTTTAACAGGAAGTGGGGTATGTCTTTATATTGGCTAGAAGAGATTTACTAACTGCTCAACTGTATGTCTGAGCCACTCATCAATGCGGGCAAATGCCCCTGCTGACGAGGCTGTACTCCCTGGAACCCAGGATGGTCTGATGCACATGTGCTGGCCTCCATCCCTGGTCTCCCACTGCAGGGGGGATGGGCTAGAAAGCCCATCAGGAAAGGAAGGCATTATTCTCCCCATACCCTAGAGTCATCATGGCCATCCTAGGATTTTTCTTTTAATATTTCAACAGCAACAGACTTGTCCAACCCATTTAAAAATGCTCCCCAGGAAAGGTTAGTGCACAGCCAGGGGTAAGAACCACTACTTGAGAGGAATAAAAGGCCAGTTCCCTGTAAAAATAAAGGCAATGATTTCTATCTGCACCCAATATACCACCCCCCACACACACCCCAATGGGGTTACAAATCCCACAGTTTTGAAGCTCCTCAGACTTTCCAAAAGATAAAGTACTTCACGACTCTGCCAAGTCACTTACAATGATGACAACTTTGAAAGGGGTTTTCAGCTGTTTTTCCAACTTGCTAAGAAGGTCGAAACTGACAATGTTGACCAAGCCAGCTGTCAGGCAGCCCTTCCCAGTCACCACCACATTGATGTTCTCTGGGTTCAAAGATGGCAGCCACCGAAGGAAGGCCTACAGGTGATAGGGGACAACAAAACAAAGTGATGACCCCAGCCAACACATGCTGCAGACAAGCTGGGTCTCTCTCCTTACACATCCTCTGGCATCTGCCAAAACCCTGGTCATTTCTACCTGCCTCTACCCCACCCACATCCTTCACTATTCACTGACAGGACTCTCCCTCCTGTCAACAGGCATTCATGCGCCTGGGGTTTGGTCTCTGTGATCTCTACCCAGACGGCAAGTTTCTTCTGGGGAAGAATGGGATTCTTTAAGAATTGTATTAAGAATTCACCAGAGCCATGTACACCAAAGGAAAACTGTGGTTACCGGGGATAAAGAAAACATTTATGCTGCTATTATGGTTTCGACAAAGCCCTCTACTCTTCCCAGCAGTCTTACTATCACTAGTTAAACCAGGTAACCTGCAGCTGTAGGAAAGCCACCAGGTGCCTCCACCTGGGTACCCAGGCATATGGGAGGTCCCTCGCCTTGCCCAGCTGCTGTTCTGACATCGGGAGTTTTCTAGCCTTGGTCTTCTTCATAAACATCTGATTCATGCTGGACTTTTCAAGAGTATTAAGGGCATCTGATAGCCATAGATATATACTGAATTACAGCTTCCTACAGGCACTGGCAGAATCTAGATCACAAGAACCAGAAAAGAACGAGGTATTGTTTTGATAAACATATTTTGAGTTTGGCCTTCTCTGCTTAGAGCAGTAGGTTTGAGCACTGGGTTCCCCAGCAGCAGGAAGAGCTGCTTCCTCTAAATCATGACTCACAGAGGCCTTGGAAGAGGTTAAGCTATCAAGAAGCTGATGCCTGACATCAGTAGCATAAAGCCAGAGAGCTATGGAATTAGCTACGCCTTCCTTCACTGAGCTTGCTTACAGGGGTTGGATTACTCAGTGTTTGTTCGCATCAGGGCCTCCATCTATTAGGTCACCTGAGGGACGGTGAACATACTATGCACAATATCCTACGGAGTGAAAAACATGGAGCCAAGGAATCAGGAGATTGCCTCTAAGTCCCTCTCTGCACCTCCTTAGCAGGAGGCCCCCTTAAGAACCAGTTTGCTCATGTGTGAAGAGTGGTGGCACACACTTTTAATCTCAGCACTTGGGAGGCAGAGGCAGGTAGATCTCTGTGAGTTCCAGGCCAGCCTGGTCTACATAGAAAGTTCCAGCCCAGCTGGGGCTACAGGAAGACCCTATCTCAAAAAAGAGGCCAAAAAAAAAAAGTGTCACCAGGCATTATGTCATGGAGTTCAAGGAGATGAAGGAAGTAAATACATTCCATAAATCAGACGAGGTACAGATAGAGGGTCTAATTCACAAGGGCACAGGGGTACTGACAGTGTCCCTCTGCTCAAGGACTGACAATAGGTCCCTAAGCTGTTTACTGCTGGGCTTTATTCCCTGAAGGGATAATCTGATACCCTGCCCTCAAGGGCCAGCTCATCTCTCTGCTTCCCCTTGACCAATCAGGACCTTTAAAGATCCCAAGCCTTGCCTCTACATTATTTTGTTAGTCTAACCCTGAGAAGCCTTTCCCAATGATTCCAGTGCAAAGTGAACTAACCTGCTCCCAGGTGAAGCGCACCGAGGACGGCACGACTACCAGAAGCGGCCACTCCTTTCGGTAATAGGCCGCTATACAGATGGCTTGCATGGTCTTCCCCAGGCCCATGTCATCGGCAAGCAGCAGGCGGCCTCTTTTTGCTATGGCAAAGCTGCAAACAAACAGGACACAGTGAGTGTCAAAATGCATGCCCCCATCCTGTCCATCACAGGTAAGCTGCCACCAGGCAGAGCTGATGGGGGCCCCTGTGCTGACTGCAGCATTGACCAGCATGGGCCCTGCTCCGAGAAAGACTCTCTCACCAAGGAGTGCAGAGTCATTTAGGGAGCAGAATAGAGAGAGCCAGATAGCAAAAATGCAGAATGGTTGGGACATGGGAAGGAGATATAGAGAAAACAGGCCACGGGAGTCAAGAACAGAGCTTCAGTGAGAGGAGTTGGGCTGAACCAAGCACAGAAGCATTAGGGGCCATGTCCAGGGACACAACTTCCTTGAGAAATACACCCAGGAAAACGGAAAGAAAGAAGAGTCAGTGGCATTACAAGTAAGGCATACTAGGGGCTAGAGCTCCCTGCTCTTCCAAGAGGACCTGAATTCAGTTCCCAACACCCATATGTGGTGGCTAACAACCACCTATAACTACAGCTCTAGGGATCTCATACAGTCTCCTGTCTTCTCCATATACCCACACATACATGTCATACATTCACACAGACACAAATACACATATAAATAAAAAATAAAAATAAAAATTTTTTAAAGGAAATAAGGCATTTTAGGGCTAGAGAGATGGCTCAGAGGTAAAGAGTACTTCCTGCTCTTCCAGAGGACCCGAGTTCAGTTCCCAGGGCCCACATCAGGCAGCATACATCCTCCTGTAACTCCAGTTCTAGGGAATCCGATGCCCTCTTCTGGTCTCCATAGGCACCAGCATATACATGGTATACACTCACACAGATACAGATAGATACACACACATAACTAAAACTAAGGTAAATTAAAGGGCTGGAGAGATGGCTCAGCAGGTAAAAGAGGACTCTTGTAGAGGACCCAAGTTCAGTTCCCAGCACCCACATGGCTGCTAATAAACTTCTGTTAATTCTAGTTCAAGGGGACCGAACGCCCTCTTCTGGCCTCCATGGGCACTGTATGCATGTGGTGCACTCATACACATAAAATAAAAATAAATAAATAATAAAAGAAAGAAGAAATTCTAATGATCAGAGCTCACTGTATGTATAAAGAGCAGGGTGGAGCCAGCAGTGAAAGAAACCCCAGGCAAAGAGGACAGGTGGAGGACAGGGTGCAAGCAAGGCCTCCTCGGCACAGAGTTCAGAAGCTGGCAGCCTCCAGGCACCTTATGCCCTTAAGCACATGGATCTTGCTAATGGTCTGTAGATGCAGGTGGAGTTCACTGCTTTGGAGCCAGGCAGGTCTGGGTTGAAATCACAATTCTGCCACTCACAGCTGTGCACTTTGACACACCCTCCTGAATGAAGTAAGATGGAACAGGTAGCACCTACCTCACAGATGGTGAAAGATAATACAAAGCACTTAAGATGGTGCTTGGCACCCTCCTAAACACTGAGCAAGTGTTTCTATCAGACCCATTTTCCCACAAAAGGGGAAGGAATAATCAGAATAGTGCAATGATTTGCTCGTGTTGCTGATGACTCACTGAGAAGCTAAAAGGGTCCTTAATCCTGAGCACCAGACACCTGGTGCCCCACTCCAAACCCTAGTACTCATGCATCTAATTGCTGAAAAACTGATTGTTGGCTCAGAAATCTAGTAATAAGCCAGTAGAAGAGATCTTTTTCCTTTCTTCTTACATAATAAAAACAAAGAAAGCAATCCATTCTAATCAGCAGCTTGTCTATACAAGAATTCTCAGCTGCCATTATTCTTTCCCGAAACACTGCTTTCCAAGATAGGAAACTGAGCAGAAGCTCTCCAGAAAACAAAGGCCAGCACACCAAGGTCCTGCAGCACATGGTTCAGTGGGTATCCTGTTCTGATACTTCCTTGTTCTCTCAGCAGCCACAATGAGGACATGCCCTCCTGCAGTGTCTACCTTGGCCAGTGCATCCCTCCCCTGAGGAGGACAGGCGCCCAGCAGGGTGTTACCCAGCTCCAGAGCAGATCTGCTCTCCTCCTGCATGCCTGCCTCTGGGAAATCTTCCAAACCAGCTCTAGGATCAGCCCACAGTACAGACAAAAAGGGAAGGGTGGGTGTGAAAAAGTTCAGGGTTTACCACACATTCTGGTTTATAAAATTGGTGACCAGGTAAGACAGGCAGCACCCAAGAACCAAGATGCATGGAGAACGCTATACCCTTTAAGTGTCTTTTGTCTGGGCCTCCTCAGCTCTGCCACTTACCCACCTTCCACAGAGTTTGACCCATCTGATCACTCTGAAAGCCACAGAATGAACCCCCAAATTTCATGTTCTTTCCCTTTTCTTTGCCTTGAGGTATCCAAGTAAGGAATAAAGTGTCCAAAATATGACAACAAAGAAAAGGCCCCATAAAAGAGAAACACAGCTAAATGTATCTGATAGAGTTTGGTATGACAGCAAGAAAGTATTGCAAGCATCGAAACCACAGATGTAAGCTCCAATTAGGCCTCAGCAGTGGGGTGACTTTTGGCAAGTGACTCTCGTGCAAATGCATTCACCTGTCAAATGGGTCCATTTAGGTATCAGAGGAAGTTGATACTTGATTCTGCCCTAGAAACTTTCAGCAACATTCAACTGTAGCTCTTACAAAATAAAGTAGGGGGAGGTGTTCTGAGTTAAAGGTGTCTGTCACCAAGACTGACAACATGAGCTCCATCCCCAGAACCCATATGTTCAAGGAGAGAACCAATTCCCAAAAGCTATCCTTTGACAATCCCCACACACTCCCACAAATGAAAAAAAGTAAAATATGACCAGCACCACATAAAACCAAGGGTGGTAGCAAACACCTATAATCTCAGCACTGAGGAGGTAGAGAGGTAGGAGGATCAGAAGTTGAAAGATCAAGGCTAAGGCCAGCCTGAATATATGAGACCTTGTCTCAAGATGTAAAGTAAAAGGGAAAGGAGGAGAAAGGGAGGTAAGGAGGGAGAGAAGGAGGGAAGGAAGGAGGGAAGGAGGGAGGGAGGAAAGAAGGAATTGGTAGCCTTCCTTACTCAATATCAAACCTCTGTCTTTTCAGACTGAAAATTAAAATCCAGATTCAATTATGTTTTAAAGAAAGACCACAGAAACAGGGCATGGTGGTGCATGCCTTTAATCCCAGCACTCGGGAAGGAGATCTCTGTGAGATCAAGGCCAGCCTGGTCTCCATAATGACTTCCAGGCCAGGTGGGGCTACAGGGAAATCCTGTCTCAAAAAGGAAAGAGAGAGAGAGAGAGAGAGAGAGAGAGAGAGAGAGAGAAAGAAAGAAAGAAAAAAGGCCACAGAGACCACCAGCAGCAGCTTCAGAGCCATAGACAGAGGAAGATGAAAACTCCTGTCCACGGTCTGGTTCTAGGGCTACAGCTATGGTCCACGCACACTCTAGCTGGGCACCTCCCTCCACACAATGGGAAGAACTGGCAAAACCAGCATTTACTGTGTGGGCCCAGGGAGCTCTCAAAAAGCAAAACACAGCAAATAAGAGCTGCTTGGGGGTGGGGATGGGCAACCTGTCTCAGCTTTAGTGAAGGTGCCAGAGACAGAAAGATCAAAGGAATAAACCAGGCTCATTGGTGAAAATGAGACGAAGGACTGAAAAGACAAAGCAAGCTCTGCTGAGTGTATTACCTAAGAGAGATGAAGATGGAGGGGAAAAGGGGAAGAGGGGGCGGACAGGGCCAGAACACAGGAACATAAAGCAGCTGTGTCCAAAGAGCACGCAGAGATGAAAATCTCAGCAGAGCCCCAGCCACGCTTTCCCAGAACACAACACTGGCTCCAGACCAACCCATTTCATGTCTTCAGTTCTACTGACAAGAGTTCCTTTGCCCTTCATGGACTCTGGGTCCAGTTACTCTGCTTCCTCAAAGTTCTATTTCTAGAAAGAAATATTTCTAGACAAACCATCAAGATCTCTTCTTTCCTTTCCTTCAATTCCTGTATTTGCATGAGAAACCACGTTCATACCTGTCATTGCACTTCTCTCAAGAAGTACTGGGAAAAACATTGAGCAAGACAAATCAAGAGGGAGATCGAGAACCTACTTAACTCCAGCTCTCTGGAAGGGCATGAGATTAGACACAAGCTTGGCATCCACTCCAGAAAGGTCAGCTTCAGGGACATCTGCTGTGAGATGGGGAGATGTCTTCTCCAGCTGAGATGCGAACGCCAGGGTCAGAGTCTTGGGCAGAGGCTCCAGCTGAACCTGTTGGAGGCTGCACACCTTTCCAACTGGAAAGCAAAAACAGAGGCATGTGAACCAGAGCACCACTCTTCTCAGCCAACTGTATGTCATTTGGCCCTAATCACACATGGCTTCCTGGATCTGGGGAGGGCTAAAGTATACAATCTGGGGAAGGCCGGGAAGAGAAGGCATGACCCATGCTGGGTAAAGGCTTTCCAGTGTGCATACCCTCAGGTCATACATACACCTCAGCAACCCCTCAGTTATCTCGGTAAGCTCAATAAATTCATTGGTTCCCCAGTAAAGCTTTAATCAAACACTGGCAACACTAGAGCCTTGAAAGGGAATAAGCATTGCTTAGCATCCCCAGGAAAAGAAGTCTAATAACAGATAGAAAACTTATTTGTTAATGCTATTATGTCTCATAATTATTTTTTTAAAAAAAGAAAATGAGAATGTAAATGATGTTAAAAGGATATGGGAATGGAGATATTTTCTAAAATAGAAAAAAATGAGAAAGCCTAAGTGATGAAGGTCTGTTTAGGTTTGTTATGATATATAAAAGGATGAAACAAAAATAATATACACATAATCTTAAAATTTCTAGTTTAGTCAACTAGTTTAAGGGACAAAATATGTATCTAGTCAAGGATTATCTGAGAATATTTGTTTTTTTTACCCAAGACTTGTGGAGCTGCGTCACCGAACCGGGTCTCCTGTGTCTGAATGCGGCTCCACTGATACAGTCTCCTCACCAGCCCTGGGGTCGGGGACCAGGCAGAAGCAGCTATGATCAGAGACAGCTGCCACATGAGGGGCCTCAGCGCCGATTGAGCAGAAGAGCGGCCACAGCTTGTGGCGCCTGTGCGATGGGAGTCAGCACCGCGTGAACGGAGAGCAGCTGCAGGCGGCGCCTGAGCGATCGGAGGAGTTGGCACCAGTGCAATCACAGGAGGTGCTCGTGCGATCAGAGGCAGCACCGGGTGAATGGAGAGCGGCTGCAGGCAGCACCCCTACAAGTGGAGGAGTGGCGCCTGGAAACAGCACCACAGCACTAGCGCCCAGGGCAAATGGAGGAGCAGCCGCATGACCCCTTAGGAACAGATCCTCCAAGGGCCTGAAGAGTAAAAACAAATTGATTTATTTGGGCCAACTGTATGGTCTTAAAAACCCAAAAGGAAAGTATATCCAAAGAGTAAAGTCATCAGTTTATTTCTTTAAGCGTTCACGTCCCAGACATTAGGCTTAAGTCTATATAAAAAGTTATTTAGACAATTATTTCTCATTGATGATTTTGTTCCTAACCAGAAGTGCTGCTCAGATGTAAGGCTTCAAATCCTGGTCTCCAATACTGTAGTGCCCACCTGTAGCTAAGGGAGGCTACTGTTCTAAAATGATGGATAAATTTGTCTTTTCCCCTATCTAGAAGCCTTTGAGAGGGAACTGACACTGAATCCAACTACTCCAACAGCTATCAAAATACCTGAAAGCAAATCCTGAATCCCTCACTCTTAGAGTCCAGCCTTGGAAGACAAAAGAAAAATGAGGAGGAACCCAATAGAGGGATGCTTTTGGAAGCCCTTGTCAAGAAATTCCAGTGGACTCTCTTACGAACATTTGAAAATTGCCCTGTTCTGACTTTTTTCTAGATCCCTGTCTAGAACTTGTAATGCTAATTAACTCTTGCTTTTACTTCTCCTTCAGATCTGAGCTGCGCTATAGACTTACCCCAAGAGCTATTTTCATTTTATTTTATGTGTATGGATTTTGTCTGCATGTAAGAGCACCACAACATGCATGCAATGCACATGGAGGCCAGAAGGGGGCATTGGATCCCCTGAACTGGAGTAAAGATGGGGGGTTGTTAGCCATGTAGGTGCTGAGAATGAAACCCAGGTCTTTTGCATGAACGTCCAGTGTTCTTAACAGCTGAGCCATCTTTCTGTTCCAAAGGCCAAAAATGTCAAAAGTGTTTGGGAGCTTGTATCTAATCCTTAAAATATTTTACAGTTAACCTTTCAGAGGGGGGCATATTAAGAGTAGCCAAAAGCCCCCATAAAAATAAATAAATAAAGCAAAGAAGAACAAAGACTACATAAAGTTATCAGGAAAAAGTGATGGGGAGATATGGGAGGAGATGGAAGGAAGGGAGTGGGCATGGATTTGATCAAAACACCTTTTATGCATGTATGAAATTCTCAATAAATTATTTATTAAAAAAAAAAAAAAAAAAAAGCCCAGAAAGATCCTAAGAAAAGTAAGTCTTCAATAGAGTGAATCTAGTTTTGTTTCTAATTATGTTTCGTTCTGATGGCTTCAATGCTTGGGGAAGCAGCTAAGTCACCTTCTAAGTCACCTTCTGTCAGTAGGCAGAAAGACTGTGCTCTTTAAAGAGAAGCCACTATGGCTTCCCAAGCCTGACTGAGAGGACCGTAGTGTCGGATACAAAGAAGATCAAAAGACAGAGTCCATACAAAGCAAATTAATTGCCCTAAATTGAAAGAACTTAGCCCAATCTGATTTTAACATTAAGAAAAAAATAACCCTCACACCTTCATTCAGTGTAGAATCAAGATGAGTAAACCAGAGATTTAGAAGTTAGAGATGACAGACCTAGAGATTCTGGTAGTGGAATTGGCATTACAGTACTGACCAGGGCTGCTGTCCCAGGGCCAAGCGCCCAACATGCTCCCTTTATCATTAGTCCTCGGAGTTCCAAGGTTGTCAGTCCTCTTTCCCGTATAGGCAAGCATGATCAGCTGGGGTTTATTTGTTTGTGTGTGTTTGTTTGTTGAATGGTCTTTTTGAGACATCTCCCTGTAGCCCCAGCTGGCCGAGAACTCACTATGTAGACCAGGCTGGCCTCAATCTAACAGAAGTCTGCCTGCTTCTGCCTCCTGAATGCTGGGATTAAAGGTGGCCCCAGCTAGTTTCTTAATACCTCATGGGCATTTCAAAAGTCCTCTGCTGTAACCACCAGCTGATTACCAGGGCTAGCACAGATGTGACCTGGAGAGCTGAGCCATCCAGTGCCATCTTTAGTAGTTTTGTATTTTCAATATATTTAAATCCTTTTTTTAATTTTTCTTTTTTTTTTTTTTTTGGTTGAAACTGAGTCTCCCTGTAGCCCCAGCTGCCCTGGAACTTACTATGTAGACCAGGCTGGCCTGAATCTCAAAGATCTACCTGCTGCTACCTCCCAAGTGCTATGACTAAATAAAAGCATCACCACACCCAGATTAAAGGGCTCTGGCTGACCTTGAACTCATGATCCTCCTGCCTCCTCCTCTTTAGTATACCCTATCTGCATGTGTCACCATAACTGGCAAATCTAATTTTTGTCCTTCATTAAATATGTTTCAGGGGGGCCAACGAGATGGCTCATCAGGTAAAGGTACTTGCCACCAAGCTTGACAGCTACACTTGAGTCCTGGAATCCACACAGTAGGAGAGAACTGACTCTGACAACACATGTCATCATACACATATACACACACACACACACTATAATAAAAATTTAAATACATTTAAGTATATTTTACATATGTAATTACCAGTCATTTCTGGAACACTTCCATGAACAGAATCAACCATGATAGGAAATGATAAGGCTGATGGCTTTAATGTGAAGTAGGCTGCACTGTATTGCTATAGAAATCCACTTTATGCCTCTAACTTAAATCTGAATGTGCTGATTTCTACATCCTTCGAGAGACTGAGCACTCAATGTATCTGCAGAAACCATTTTCATCTTAATCCTAGCGATCTTCAGAACTCCCACACCTGGGGAAGGCTAACGGCTGATGAACCGGCTGACGGGAAAGTGGTCCTTCGTAAGTGCCATGTTTTTTCAGCCATTTGAGAGAAGAGCCCAGCATCCACCATCTCCTATCGGTTACTGTCTCCAAAAACCTACACTGCAAGTTCAACCTGCTGAGTGTGTCTGAGAATGCTACTATTCCTTATCAACTGTCTATTGTCCTTTTCCCTGGTGCTGGGGATGACAGGCATGTGCTGTCTGGCTTCATGAGTCATCTAGAAGTCATTTCTGCAGAAAGCTCTTTGGCAGAATGCTCTAGTCACACAGCTGAGAGATGCTAGTGTTTTCAAACAGCAGCTGACAAGACAGGATCACCGAGAACCCTTCTGGACTGTGACAGCCGGGGAAAAACAAAAGGCCTCATGCCAATTTCACTGTGGGCAGAAGGACTCAAGACACTTGCAGAGAGCTCTGAGAGTCACTTCCACTGGAGGAAATCACTGTCATCGTGTTGTTGCTGACACACTCAGGCCTCGATGCCATTTAATTAGTTTCATATGCATGAGCTCACTAGCCTGGGGTCAACAATCTAATTTCACACATGAGGAAGGAGACCTCAGGGTGAGGGGAAAGGTACCAATTCCCTAGGTCTGCAGCACTAATGGAATCAGGGCTAAGATGGGAACCAGGCTGTCTTCGGCAGTACCTTCCCTCCCTGGCTTCTCAGAGCAGTGCTGGTTTCAGAATTTCATAATGCGTCAGGTTACAAACGCAGTGGCAATTTTTAAATCTCATTTCTGAAACCACTGACATCACTGTGGCCCTGAAATGATCTCAGTAAGGAGAGCAATGGTTTCCTTATTCAGACAGTATAACGAGGAGAAAGCACATAAAAATTCCAACTCTAGAATTCCTAACTCAGACCCAGGGAATTGCTAATGTCAGATACAAACTCAGAAGTATGCACATTATGTGTATATTTCTGGGTGAAGACCTCATGGGTTCATTAAATACTTTAAGGTCTACAGTCCACAAAAAATCAGAAACCACTGTGTAATGCTACAAGTCATGACTCACTGTTCTCCAGCACTATGCTCATTCCATAAAAGTCAAGGCTCTCCACTGCCAACATTTTTATGTCTTTCTTGGTTGAAAGACAGTGAGGAGAGAGGAAAGAACTAATTCTTATTTCTCATCAAAAATTTAGCTTTGGCCAAATAGTTCCTCTGAATCACAAGCCCCAGACAGAGGCCAGAGAGCTTAGATAGACACTGGCCATTGTTTTTGCTTCGGCTTTCACAGATACTAAATGGCACCACCTCGTATTTAGACTTAATCTTGCAGTTTACCACAAGACGTTCCTCAAAGAACAAAGAAAACTTCCTTCTGGGCCTGGTGGCACACACCTTTAATTCCAGCACTCAAGAAGCAGAGGCAAGCTATCTCTGTGCACTCAAGGCCACCCTGTCTGGTCTACACTGTGAGTTCCGGCTAGCGCTACAGGGAGAGATCCTGTCTCAAAAAGAAAAAAGGAAAGAAAAAAAAAGCTCTTCCTTTATATTTAATTCTGATGTCAGGAAGGTAGACAGGAATTTTTTTAATTTCCAATTTTTTTAAAATAGGATCTTATGTTTCCTTAGCTGGCCTCAGATTCGATATGTGGCCAAGGGTGACCCTGAACATCTCATATTCCTACTTCCTCCTGCTGAGTGCTGGGTTAACAGGCACATATCATTTTATGTGCTGCTAGGGATCAAACCCAGGACCTCATTATCAGGGAAGCACAAATGAACTACATCTCCGGCCCAAAGATCTCCTTTTTAACAAAAATAAATGGAACATAAATTATTGAATCATCTACCTGAAATCTACAGTGTCATATAAGCAGGAGACACAGAAAGGAACCCAGTTCTGCCCTGCTCCTTAAAGTCTGAGCCTGATGGGCAAGTGGCTAGTGGCTCCCTTCTCCCAAGGCTGGGCCAGGTCACTGATGTGACTGACACCCACACACAGCTCTTCCCGCTACCTGGGAGGTCCAGTAAGTTAGGAGGCAGTAGGAAAACAGCACATATCAGCAGAGTCTAAAGAAGGCTGAGACTGGCAACCCAGAACAGGCTGAATTATAACAATTGCCTTTCTCAGGCAAAGTAGAATCTATAGCCCATCAAAGTAGAGCACCCAAAAGAAACACGATAAGCCAAACTGTCTTCTCCCTCTTGTGGTCATGACACCTATGCACACATCCCCTCGATCACTTTCCCACCTTCCTGGCCATCTGGTTTTGAGGTGAACTGAGAGGTTTTACAGGTCATCTAGAGCAGCTTCCATTCTAGCTAAACGACCCCAGCACTCCTCTGATTCCTAAAGTCCACATCCCTCACTTCAACTGTCTATGACAGCAGGAAGGTTTCCCAGGCCAGGGAATTTCAACAGCACCTACTAAGTCCACATCCCTCACTTCAACTGTCTATGACAGCAGGAAGGTTTCCCAGGGAATTTCAACAGCACCTACCTCACCCTTACAGATGAAGGGTCCTGCATTCAAATGGTCACAAAACTGCTGGTGCCAGCAGGCCTGGACAAGACTGCATGAACACATCTCACTTTTACTCTGTCCTGGAGCATCTGAAATTACCAGTGTAACCACAGCAAACGTGAAGGACCCTCTCTTCAAAGATACTAAAACTAATGCATAATATCAAAGCTTCTTAACCACAAAAAAACAGAAAGGTGGGCTTCTCACTTAGCTTGTTGTACTCTTCCAAGAGAAAGTTCCACTTCCTGGTCTTGACATCTGGAATGAGAAGAGAGATAAGCAAAGGGGTCTGCTGCCTCCTGCTACATCAGCATACCCACTCCTTTGCTGTCTTTCTTCATAACCCCCCAGCAAGCTCCCATGATGAATGTGGCTGTCTGAGATGGGTACCAGGATACAGAAATTAAGAGAGGGCCTCAAGGCATCACCAATATTCAGGGAGAAGACAATAAGCATGAGTCATGAGGATAATGACCAAAGGTACTATAGGGTTTATGAGTGTGGACGGCCCAGGTCAAAGAGGCCCTGAGTGTCCACTGAAGGGACAATGGCTGCAGGTTCCACTTAATCAGCATTTGCCTCAAACCAGACCCTGCCAAAGCAGGCACTCATGCCATCCTCTGGCTATCATATCACTGTTTAAAAATATCATGGATGGGGGCTAAGGATGAAACCATAACTCAGGAGTCTAGATTCCAAAACAGACTGTGTCCCTATTCTGGCCAGGTAGCTTTGAAAGAATCTCACAAAATAATGTGTTTTCTATTCTGCTTGGGCTGGTGTTTTCCAATCCTAAGTGGTTATTAAACTCACTTACAGACTTAAAAATACCACTAACTAGGCCCCACTTCAGCCCAGCACCTCTTAGTAAAGATTGTGAGTAGACAGAGCACATATCTACCGGTGTTTTCAGACTGAGGTGTGCAGCAGCCATCACCACTATTACCAGCACCACCATTACTACCACCACTACTATCATCACCATCACCACCACTATCACCATCATCATCACTACTATCACTATCACTACTACCACCACCATCACTACCACCAGCACCACCATACCACTATCACCATCATCATCACTACTATCACTACCACTACCACCACCACCATCACCACCAACATCAGCACTACCACCATCACTACTATCACCACAACTACAACCAGCACCACCATCACCACCACCACCATTATCATATTGCCCCCGCCAGCACCACCAGTACCACACAACCACCACCATCACCACCACCACTGTTACTACTATCACCACCACCACCACCATCACCACCATCATTACAATACCATCACCAGTATCACCACTGCCACAACCATCACCTCCACACCACTATCACCACCACTACTACCAACACCACGACCTCCACACCACCACACCAATACCACCATCACCACCACACCAACACCACCATTACCATCATCATTGCCACACCACCATAACTGGCACACTACCATGACTACCACCATCACTACCACCACCACCAGGGAACTTACTAGAAATACTTTCTCCCCAGACCCCATAGCTACAGCATCAGCAACCAGCCTTCCATGTGTTTCCTATACAAGCTCAAGTTTGAAAACCACTGTCTTAGGGTACAGAAAGGCATTTGTTTTTAGGGAAAATACTGTTTTTCTGTTCTGCTAAGGCTAAAATAGAAACAGTTTTAAATGGCTGAAGCAGAAATGTGCATGCTTTTCTCAAGGTAACACTGAAGGTGACTAGGAAAATTGTAGGGTCTTCTCTTCGGGAAGGCTTAGAGATGAAAGAACTTCCACTACGTGTTCACTCTCTGGAACTGCTAAAGTGTCACTGTCCTATAGATACACTTAGATCTCTACCAAGAAAATTGGTTTTGAATATTCAAAGACATAGATAAACAGTCTCTGCTGAGATCACATCCCATGCAGAATATATACTAGGAAGCACACAAAAACCATCTACTTGCCATAAATCCAGGAATCCATCTGTTTAAACACCTCAATCAGTGGCTCTGAATAGCTGATGTCTACCTCAAAGCGGGCCCGGGAGATGAGCAGGCATCTCCCTGTGACAAAGGTGAGGGATGGAGCTGAGGGAAGGCTGGTCTGTCTCCCACTGCTCTCATCAACTCCTTCCAATGGCTGCAGGGAGACTGTGGAGATGTGCTGGGCTGCTTTCACTGTGAAGAGAAAAAGGGCTGAAGTGATAAAATGGATGGCTCTGGATGACCTCACCTGGCCCTGGTATGCTAAGGAAGGCAAGACACGGCTGAGAGGCAAATGGGGCCCAGCCCTTTAACTGGGGCTTTGGGGATTTTAATATTATCAAATGTACTGGATACAGTGATGTGCACCTTCTAGTCCCAGCTGCTCAGAAGGCCAAAAGAGGGCAGATTAAGCCCAGTGGTTGAAAGCCTGTTATCACAGCAAGGCTCCTGTCTCTTAAAAAAAAGAGAGGAGAAGATATGTGTGTGTGTGTGTGTATACACATACATATGTATGCATATATATATATATATGAGAGATTTTTTTTCCTATTCCCTAAATTTTTGAAATTAAAACAGATTTCAGAAATTAGTATCAGAAGATATAAAACAATCATACATTTATATTACTAGTTGGGAATAAAATGTTTTGGAAAAAACTGACTATGTACACATGAGTTCTGAGAGGTGATCATCATGACTCTACTGCCAGGAATCAAACGTATACACAGAGGGGTTCCTTACTGCTATAAAAGTAGGAAACTGGGAGCAATTTAAACAGCAAGAAACTGACTCAACCAACTTTGACATATTCATCCAATAGACTGTTAGGCAACCATTAATTTTTTCCTTTCAGTAAGAAATTTTGGAAAAGACAAAAGTACAAAAATTACTATTTTTGACAATACAAAATATTTTGAAAGTCACAATGGTCCATTATAATAATAATAATGGAGACTAAAAAACATTTATGGAAAAGGCAAGATATGAATTATACACAAATGTAGTATTTGTTTCACTTAATGACCAAGAGTTGGAGAAGCATGATCCAAATGCTAACAGTGGCTGACTTGGAACAATATGGGACAGTTTTTCCTCTCTGGGCATTAATGAGCTCTGTGTGTTCTGTAGTGAGTGTGGGGTAGGGTTCAAAAAGCAAAATCTGGGTTCAGGATGTAGCCCAGTGCTAGAGTGCTAACCTAGCTCCCTAGAGCCCTGGGTTCAATCCTCAGAACTAGAAAAGAAAAAAAAGGAAAAGAAAAAAAGCAGAATCTATTTAAAGTAGATATATTTAAAGTAGTAATGGGTGGAAACAATATTATATGTTATGTTGATAAAGAGTGTAAGTGAGTCAAGGATGTAAATGAGTCAGTGGTAGAGTAATGTTCACAGTATGCATAAGGCCCTGGGTTTAATCCCCAGCACTTAGAAAAAGGGTTTAATATAAAATTAAAAGTATGAAATGACACAAAAATGGTGAACCTATGTGAAATTAAAAACAGAAAGACAAATTCATAAATCCCAAATTGCGATAGGTAATTTCAAGGTATACAGGGGCCCAAACACTTCACTCAACATCATCTAAAAAGGTACATCGAGAATTCTGTGCCTAAAACTCTTTTCAAGAAAAAAAAAAAAAAAAAGTGGAACATTACAAAAAGTAATCATACCATACAGAAAACCTAAACAAATTCCCAAAAGCATAAGTCATTTAAATCTCTGAATACTGTGGTCAACATAAGAGTGACAGACGACACAACAAAGAAAATCGCTCCAGTGGAAATCACTGGTTTCAAAGGAGCAGCAATACCAGGTGTTACGCCTGCAATCTTTAACATTATTTTATAAATTTATTTTTATGTGTACAAGTGTTTTGCCTGCATCTATATAAATGTACCCAGGCATACAATGCCTGTGGAAGCCAGAAGAGGGCTTTGGATTCCCTAGAACTGGAGTTCCAGACAGTTGTGAGTTGCCACATAGGTGCTAGGAACCAAATCTGGGTCCTCTGCAAGAGCAGCCAGCACTCTTAACTGCCAAGCCATTTCTCCAGCCTCCAAACCTACAATCTTAACCCGGGACACTGAGCCTCCTCCTTCGGTGGTTATAACTCCCAGTATCTGTGAGTATGATCATGAGTAACCTCATTTCAAGTTAAATGAGGTTATCAGGTTAGGCCTTAATCCAAGGTGACTCAGGAAAGAGAGAGAGAGCGAGAGAGAAAGAGAGAGAGGGGGGGAGAGAGGAGAGCACTTAGAGGCCATGGGAAGACACAGACAAGTGACCACTAACAAGTCAAAGACAGAGGTCTCAGGAGAAACCAGGCGTACCCACACTTGACCTCAGGCATCTTTCCTCTAGACTCACCAAGCTCATTTCTGTTGTTTAAGGCCCAGTTTGTTTTAGGAAAATGATGTGCCAGCAGCTACCAAAGAGCAGGATACCACCTAATGTCATACATTTCACAAAGCAGAGACCAAAGACAGAATCAGAAAATTCCACAGAGACTGGCCCATCACCCTCCAGAAACTGTACTGATTGACCCAGAGAATTCTACATGTCTCAAAGCCTTAGAGAAGTGATCTCAGCATGCATCTTCATCTTTTCCCTTTTTGAAATGAGAAGAGAGCAGGCGGAGGCATGACTGCTGGGAAGGAGAGTATAATGCGAAATGAGAAGAACTGGGGCTGTCTATTTGACAGAGGTATAGTCTCCAGGCACCAGGACAAAGAGACAAAACACCAATATAAAACCTTCTCAGAAGATACTAGTGTACCCAGGGCTGATGAAGACTGGACACCATAGGATGGACCTGCCTGAGTAACCCCTCCCTGAACTTTGGAGCTCACTGACCAGTGTGTCATAGGTTGAACAATGATCTCCCTGGGGGCAAGACATTACACAGCTGCCTGTCACCACTGGATCTGGCATAGCCCAGACACCCTGGTTTGAATCCCAGTGGAATAATTTATTAACTGTGTGGCTCTAACGTGGTGGTGCACATCTTTATTTCCAGAGGCAGAGGCAAGGAATCTATGTGAGTTCAAGGCCAGACTGGTCTACACAGCAAGTTCTAGCTCAGCTAGGACTACAGAGTTAGGGGCTATACAGTGAGACACTATCTCAAAATAAATCCATGATGAAAGAGAAAAAAAGAAAGAAAAAAGAAAGCAAGAAGTAAGTTAGGAAGGAGGAGAAAAGACTAGAAAAGAAAAAACATAATTTAGAGGGTAAGAATAGCCCAGCACACAGGCAGGGTCATTAAGTGCTAGCTCTTGCTAATTTCTCATTGCCAGTGAACTAATAATGTGTCTACTTACTCAAGGCCCTGTAGTCGGTCATGCTGAAGTCCCACATCTTAGTAGCAGGATCTGAAATAAAACAAGACTGATGACATTTGTCTTAATTTCTACTTAGACATTATAAAAGCTTGTTTCCTGAACAAGTGGATAGAAGCCATGTTCAACGTAGACTGGCAAGCTCCCACTAACTTAGAAAACCTCTACAGAAACTGGGCATGGTGGCACAGGCGTTTAATCCCAGCACTCAGGAGGCAGAGACAGGCAGATTTCTCTGTGAGATTGAGGTCAGCTGGTTTACATAGCAAGTTGGCTACAGAGGAAAGAAAGAAACAAAAAAAAAAAAAAAAAAAAAAAAAAAGAAAGAAAGAAAAAAGAAAAACAAAACAAAACAAACCAATCTCTACAGAAGGCAAATACCAAATACAACAACTCAGGCCCAGAGAGGTCATAGGCCTTACCTAGGTGGGCTGAGGCAGAACTGGGACTAGGATCCAAATCCTCTGAATTATTGTGTAGTAAGGGAGCAATATGAGGAGCACAGGCTCTAAGGAAAGGCAAAGCTAGCCTCGTTCCAGCTCTGCCCTCTACATCAATGTCAACCCAAGCACAGTACTCAACTGTGCTGAGCCAGTTCCATCACTTAAAAATTGAAAAAACATCTATGTATTCCAAACAACTGTTTTTGGGCTTCAGTGCTACAATACATATAAAACACCTGGCAAAGGAACCAGCATCTCAGAGAACACTCAACGGTTCTCCCTATGGCAGCAGCTTCTAAGTTTGGCAGTTGCTTGTGGCAATGTCTATTACAAAGGGAAACACCAGCTAAAATAGAACATTTTTTAATAACTAGACAGACAAAATGTGCCAATGTGCTCTCTTAATATTTATGAGAAACTGTTAGAAGAGAGTCCAAAAATAGGTGGAAAAATTCTACAAACAAAAGTCCGATTACCATAACTTCTGCTGGGCAGACTCTTAAACACAGCAAGGAGCTCTTCGTTGTAACCGATCTTTACCCGGAACCGGTCTCCTTCTCTTATGCATCTTCCCTTTAGACAGTTTGCATTTTGGAGTGAGGGCTGTAGTCTCTGTTGGAGTCTCCCTTCTGCCCTGGATGTGACTCCCCATGAGCCATAATGGATGTCCCAAATGCTCTGCCCTGAGGTAGAGGGTTTCACTGTCTCTAACTCAGGATCCCTGAGGGGTGGTCCAGAGAAACCGGCTGTGTCCTGGGAACTCTTTGCTTTAGTCAAAGGCTCCTCGGGTGTGTTAGCAATGGGTGTCGATGAGATCTTATGTGAAGGCTGAGGATGACCCTGACCTGACTTATAACCCAAAAGCTGTTGGTTAGAGACAACTGGAGGAGTTTGTGCCAAGGGTGGAGCGAGCCCGGGAAGAATCTTTTGACTTGGGGTGTGCCTTGGGCAGGCTGTAGACATGTCTCCTTGGTTCTTCCATATCCCCTTTGCTTGCTGTAGTGTGCTGGGCTGAAAATGGTGAGGTCTTTGGTCTCTGTGAGATGAATTATTCAGATTCTGTTGCTTGAAATTGACACCATGGCCCACTGGCTCAGAAGTCTCCCCTGGGAGATTCTGGGAAGGGCCTGGCTTGGAGTAGGAAGGGTTGGTAACAGTGGAGCCTGAGCCTGTGCTCTGAGGCTGTTCAGCTAACAGCTTCTCAGCCCTACGGGCCAGAGCCTTTTGTCGATTCTCTTCAATCTTTTTCCTCTGCTCCTCTGTAAGTGGCAAAGACATTTTAACTTATGCAGGAATGTCACCCTTTAATTGGGAAGTGGGAAAAAGCTGTGAAAAGTAAAAAGACTGAAATAAACCTTAAGTTTGCCATGCTCCTAGCTTGATTTTAATAAGCTTTTGTTCCAGGAAATGCATAAAACAACAACTGAAGGGTACATTAAAGGTTCTTTTACAATTAAAAAGAAAGTGCACACATACAGGGATAGAAAAGGCATATGCTAAAATAACGATCCTGATGCAAAGTAAATCCAAAGCTAAAATGGTATTTCAGCTGCGTATTTTTCTCCCTCCCATCCCCTAGCCAAGGTGAGTTTTCAGATCCCAAGCAAGTTCTGCAAGGCAACCTAAATTCATCAGAAAGCCAGAAAGGAGACATTTTAAACTAAAAAGCATAATGGATTAAACAGAAATAGACCAACCAACCACATACCATGGCGTGACACTTGCTAAAATAGCCCGTTTCCAACCTGGAAGAAGGGGGGGAAAGCATTAGCCTATTACAGACTGCACACTAAATTCTCCCACTTCCACTCAATCCTCATTACATTCCTGGTAAATCAATCTGCATGTGGCCCAATGCAACCCAGAAGAGCTGTCCTCAGACCCTGACTTCCAAATGACTCTTTTGGAAAAATAAGGGGAGAACCAGGTAATGCTCATTGAACATCATCCTGATGCTAAAGATGTAAAAAAGGAGATGTTCAACTGTCATTTCACCCACCACACGTATCCAGTGTTAATTCAGAGTATGGCACAGTTCTGCACTTTTGTCTCAAACTTGGGAGATATGGGTATTTATTACAAAGTAAGGTCATCCTATAAATTTTACTTTTCTATGATTTAATTTACCCTAGGCATTCTCCTATCGGCTGGACCGCTTTTGCAATATTTTAGAAGCAGGGGCAGGACACCAATTTCTCTCACTGGTTCTAACTATGCTAAGCCTTCTCCAAATACTATCCTATGTAGGGACTACTCCAGGAGTGCAATCAGGCCTTGGAGAAGGTCAGGAGGGTTCAAAGCTTTCCTTGCTAGGGCTCTTTTTAGACAGAACACCCCCAAACATCTCCCTTCAGAGGAGTTACACTTTAGTCATCCAGCAGCCGTTTGGTGAACGTCCCCGGGGGCCCAGCACAAACGCTCAGTCTTCTGTGCTCAAGTAGGGTGGTCTCCCTAACTTGCTAGGCAGAGCTCGCGGCCCTCCCAAACTACCCGTCAAGACGTGGTGAGCTGATGGTGCATCCTAGTCGGGTAGGTGAGAATATGGGATAAGAAATCCCACTAATCAGTTCAACCACAAAGCCACCTCACCACACAGCCGCCCCTCTGTAAGCTGGGACCTCTGCTGCACTCCATTTCCAGGGAAACTCACCCAGCCCTGCTCGAGGCCCCGCCCCGCTCAGCCCCTACTATTTCCACTAGGTTTCTCCCTTCCCCTCCTCCAGGCAACATTTGGTCTCATCCGCCTCCACCGACTCTGCCTTCCTCCTACTCCACTTTCTCACCTGGTGAGACCTGTAAAGCCAGGCACCTTTGCAGATGATCCCTCCCCTAGCAGCCTCTCCAGAGCTTCCCTAGCCAGTTCACTCTTCTGGAGCGACAGGTAGGGAGGGGATCTGAAACTCAAGTGCTGCCAGTTCACCCGCCTTCTTCCGCCACGAGGCCTGCAAGACTCTATCAACGTCGAACTACACTTCCCAGAAGCCAATGCGGCCGTAGCTCTCGCTCATAGACTGATATTGATGACACACTTGGTGAAGGCCTTCTGGGATTTGTGGTTTATACAAAGAGGCCCGGCAAGAATTGGAGAGGCCGCAACATCGGGGGCGAGGCAAAGGTATGATGCACCCTGGGAGTTGCAGTTCTCGGTTTCGCCAACCGTTTCTGCTAAGACTTCCAAAGTAGGATTCGTTGTCAGCGCTGTCTCCAGTGGACATCCCAAGACAGCCAGGTTGATTTGGCACTTCATAAAAGTTTTTCCCAGAACAGCCTTCCTATATTGTTATTCTTAGAATTTTAGCTCCATTCGCTGCCCCAGCCATCTTCCTGGAACAAAGTGGAACCGACATTGCCATCTTTGTCAGAGTCCTCATCAGTCAATGTGATGAGCATTTATAGGAACCTCATTCCCTTATGTAAGGGACTACAGGCCTAATAAGCAAACAGAGTCAGTGAGGAATAATGAAGACGGCATACTCCTGCCAGGCATGGTAACACACGCCTTTAACCCCAGCACTAGGATGTAGAAGCAGGCAGATCTCTGTGAGATTGAGGTCAGTCTGGTCTACCTAGCAAGTTCCAGGCCAGCTGGGGTTATAGGAAGACCCTGCCTCAAAAAAAGAAAAAAAAGGGAGGGCGGCATCTTTGGTCTTCTCTTTTGACTGCGACAAAGACCTGGTGAGTTGTCTTTCCTGACATCTAGTCCAAACTAGTTCAGAAAAGACGGAGGTCAGACTTGGACACTTCATTTGAAGGCATAAAACCTGGAGGCATAAAACCTATCAGCCGTTTCTTGCTCCTTTAAGTTGACCAGTCCAAAATTAGCACACAGGAAATCACTGAAACCCTTAAAATGCAGGTCCTGGTTGGGGGATGGGATAGTTGCTGGATTCTCAATTTCTGAATTCCCCTCTCCACCTTTGGAGAGATTTATCTTTCTGTTTGAGTGTGTGTATGTATGTGTGATTATGTGTATGGATGTGACTCTTTTTCTTTTTAAAAAGATTTTATTTTTATTCTATGTGTATGAGTGTTTTGTATGTAAGTGCACCTGTATTGGGAAAGATCCAGGAGGACACTGAAGTATACAGGAAGCAGGCATTTTATTTAAGCTGCAGCCTGGTCCAGCAGGCTCAAGCCTCAAAATCTGGGAACCCCCCCCAAAGAGACTAAGTCCTTACATTTTATATCTTGGGTAATGGAGCACAACATAGGCAAATTACATATTGGTACAGTAAAAAGTTATAAAAAGCAAGCAGTTTGTCTAGTTCTTGAGGGAAAAGGCCCTGTCTGAGACAAACAGAACAGAAGAAGTTTCAGGACACAGTCAAGTGATTCTAACTAGCTGTGTCAGCATTCTAACCACAGACTTGTCAGCTGAACTTTGCTGATAGAGACAGAGAAAGAAAGAGAAAGATTAAATCCTTATTTTCCTTGAATATTCCATCAGGCTCTATATCAGTGCCTGCCTGGTGCCTGCAGAGGCTAGAAAAAGATACCAGATCCCTTGTAACTGAAGTACTGGGTGGGTGCTGAGAACTGAACCCAGGTCTTCTGGAAAAGCAATAGTGCTCTTAACTGATGAGCCATCTCTTCAGCCCATTTTATCTTTCAGTATAAGTTTGTTTGCTTCTTGGTCTCTGCTGGTCTGAGATTTTTCTTGCCTTTTTACAATTGGTTGAGAAAAACAAACTTGATCTCTAGATGGTCACCATCCTCAAACCTCCGAACCTCTGCCAGTAACGCTACAATTTAGGAAACATAGACTTTTAATTTTTTTTTCTTTTTAGTCTTCTTTTTTTGAGACAAAGTCTCCCTGTAGCCCCAGCTGGACTGGAACTCACTATGTAGACCAGGCTGGCCTCGAACTCACAGAGATCCACCTGCCTCTGCCTCCCAAGTACTGGGATTAAAGGCGAGTACCTGGCATAGACTTCTATTTTTAAAATAAAGTCTCTTGTATCCCAGAGTCAAGGATGACCTTGAACTCCTGATTTCTCTGACTTCACCTCCTAGTTGCTGGGATTACAGACCTGCCCCATTATAGCCATCTAGAACACACACTATTCTTGTTCTCATTTTATAGATGAGAAAACTGAACCAGCACTGGCCCATAATTTTCTCAAGGCCGTATTCAGCTTGTTATTCTAATGCCAAAGCACTTGCTTTTATTAAACACTTTCATAGCTAGTTGACCCTATTTCTGATCACCAGCACTCTTTCCTGTCCTCAGTGTTGAATATAGTATTCTTCTATCATCTGTGACTGTATCTGTGAAGGTTGCTATGATTCTGTTTTCAAACATAACTCATTACAAAGAGGTAAATAAATCTCTGAATAAGGAGTTGGGAAAATGGCCAGGCATTAAAGAAAAAGAGGTACAGCAATGTGTGTGTCCTTTGACAGGAGATGAGGAGGGAGGGGGGAGAAAAGAAAAGAAATTCATTTATAGGGAAAACAAAAATCTCACCAAGCTGTTGAGGAGTTAGGTAGGATGGGATACCCGTTTCAACATTTGAAGCTATATTTTTGTGCACTGTTTTAATTTTCTTACAATCATCATAGAAATTGTGTGACTTGAAACAAATTATTTCTTAGATGACGTTGATCTGTCTATGGGATTTAAGTGAGGCTTAATAAAGTGTTCAAATCTCAGTTCTATTCCTGAAAGCAGCCATGTGCCTTTGTTTTGCTTTTTCTTTCCCTTTTTCTTTTTTCCATATCCATGTGGTCTTTCTGTGTGTCTGTGCCTTCATTTTCTTATCTGCAAAGACAGAAAACAATAGCACCTTGTTCCATCTCTTTATTGTTAAAGGTGAAACAAAATAATGAGTGAAGTTGCTTAGTGAACTGTGAAATCTCAGAACAGATGGAGGAGGGATGTTGCTAGAATTTGAGGTAAGTCTTAGATCTTCAGTTTCTCTACACCTAGCACCCATTTCCTGCTACATAGTGTGAATAGCTACTAATTACTGAACACCTGTCTTGTCTTCCTGTCCCCCTACAGTCAGTTAATTTGTTAAAACTGAGTGCTACATACCTCACTCGTGCCTGTCATCAATTCACATGACAGTTGTTTCATTCTTCTGGCCTCAGCTGACGCACCTATAAAATAATACAGTGTCCTTTGATACAAGTCAGAGAACAGCGGGTCAGTGGATCCTAATCTTGGATCCCCAAATTCCTGTAAATTCTTAGAGATCCCAATTTGGAAAGTCTGGAATTGGACTAAATGATGTGGTTTTCTTTCTAGCTCTAACATCCTAAAATTCTGAGAATAGGGAAATGAAATAAGCATTCAGTCTAAAAATTGTCTTCAAAAAGCAAACTAATCAGATCCCACTCAATATTCTTAGCAACAGCATTGTTCTTTGATGGCCATTTGTATTTCTTTTGTAATGTCTGCTCAATTTATTTGCCCATTTATAAATTACATGACTTTTTCTGGTTTTTTTTTTTTTTTTTTTTTTTTTTTTTTTTTTTTGAGGCCTTGCTATATTCACTCTTATTTAGCTGTGAGGAGCTGTTGAAATGGCATCTTGTTATGTAGCCCAGGTGGTGTCAAACTCAAGGCAAATTTCTTACCTCAATCTCCTGAGTGCTGGGATTACAGACATGAGCCACCAAGCCTAGCTTTAAAAAACTAGCTTAGCATGTGGCACACACCTTTAATCACAGGACCTGGGAGACAGAGGCAGATGGGGGTGGGCGGTTCAAGGCCAGCTTGGTCTACAGAGAGTTCCAGGCTAGAAGGGGCTGCAGGGAGACCCTGTCTCAAAACACAAAAATAAAAACAAAACAAACAAAAAAAATCTATACTTCAGAAAGTTGCTTAAGGTAACAGTGAAAATTCATTTATTAAATAAGAATGTTTAAAAGCCTGGAGGGAAGCAGAGGAACGATTAGTTGTAACAGCTGAGTTCCATTTTAACTCTGAGCTTCCCAGCAACTGAAGCAAAAACAGGAAGTCATGCAAGCCATTCTACTGAACAACACAACTAAAGCTCTGAATACCAGTCCGCTAGCAGACCCAGTCTGGACTGAACCTTGATCTGGTTGCTTTTAGAATAACCCGAAGGACAGTATGATGAATACATTTTAAAAACTAAAGTTTTTATTACTAAATATAAAATCCAGCACGGTATGGTGGCTCATGCCAGTAATCATAGCACTTCGGCATTGGAGGCCGAAGATGAGAAGAAGTTCAAAGCCATCCTAAGCTACATAGCAAGTGCAAAGCCAGCCTGGGCTGCTAAGACCCTGTCTTAAAAAACGAAACTGGGAGTGGTAGCACATGCTTTTAATCTCAGCACTTGGGAAGCAGAGGCAGGTGAGTTTGCGACCATCCTGGTCTACATAGCAAGTTCCAGGCCAGCCAAAAACAAATAGTGAGTCCCTGTCTCAAAACAAAAACAAACAGAAAAATCCAAATAAGTAAATAAATACAACTCATAATTTGATTTTTAGTTCTTGATGTTTAACGGTCTTTTCATTAAGAAAATGTTGATGACTGTGAATATATTATGTGGTAAAATAAGGTGTTTTCCATTCTTAAAAATACCCAACAAGAGTGGCAAGATGGCTCACTAGGTAAATGTACTTGCTACTAAGCCTGACGACCTGAGTTTGATTCCCAGGACCCATATGGTAGAAGGAGAGAACTGATTCCTGCAAGTTGTCCTCTGACACGCACACACACAATAAATAAATTAAAATGTAACTTTAAACATCCAATAATGTTCAGTCTGTAGATCCAAAATTATAGCATAGCATACACTGTTGTAAGGGAAGGCGGAGAGAGGGCAAGTCCGTTTCTGTCCTTTCACACAGTTATGTTTTTGCAGAATGGATAACAAATAGGTAGAAATGCCACATTTAGCAGGTGTCCCAAGTACTTGTCCCACATACCACATGGGGCATACCTGTACCAAAAAGGGTTTATTATTCATTTGAAATTCAAATTTAACTGGATGTCATGTAGTTTATCTTTAACCATTAAAAGTAGTCCATCCTATGACTCTGTGCTTTTCTCCCTTGGAACAAGAAAAATCAGTCTTGGTTTTAAAACTGGTTTGTCATGACATTATGTCTGACGATATCCCACATACCACATGGGGCATACCTGTACCAAAAAGGGTTTATTATTCATTTGAAATTCAAATTTAACTGGATGTCATGTAGTTTATCTTTAACCATTAAAAGTAGTCCATCCTATGACTCTGTGCTTTTCTCCCTTGGAACAAGAAAAATCAGTCTTGGTTTTAAAACTGGTTTGTCATGACATTATGTCTGACGATAGTATTTATTATTCATTTGAAATTCAAATTTAACTGGATGTCATGTAGTTTATCTTTAACCATTAAAAGTAGGCCATCCTATGACTCTGTGCTTTTCTCCCTTGGAACAAGAAAAATCAGTCTTGGTTTTAAAACTGGTTTGTCATGACATTATGTCTAACCATAGTAGAAAACTCAAAGGAGACTGCTTCTGTTTGTAATAGAACAGCCTTCATTTGAGACAGACTTAAGAAATTCTTGTTTTAAGGTCCCTTTCCTGGGCTGTGCCGAGTTAACCTGTGATGGTAAATCTCCTCCAGTCAATGTTTATTGAGAACGTTTGGGTTTTGTTCTAACTTTATCTATATATTACACAGTAATTAAAGGTACCAGGCTTTTGCAACTGACTTTCTTTGATGGTTAATAACCATACTTAGAGGTCCATACTGATCTGGACAAAGGGACTTAAGAGACAGTTTTGTTCCTTGCCCTGGAAGGTCAACAGTGTCCCAAGGGACTATGGGAATCTCTTGATATGTCTGTAACTGTGATGAGTCACCTGTCCTCTTGTTCAAGGAGGTCATGGAGACCCCACCAGAGAGACTCAAACCAGTGTCCAGTCTGCAAAGAGGAGGGTCGGCACAGAGGAAGCATTTCCTCCATGCTTCCAAGCAAAGCCCAGGTCGAGCAGGACCTCTTGACTTATCTTCATGTAGATGGAACTGGTAAAAGAAAGCCTAAGGAGCCAGGGGCACCCCACCAAGCCCACGTGACCCCTGAGGACCAGATCCTCAAACAACCTTAAAGTAAAAGTAAAATGGTTTATTTGGGTCAACTATACAGTCTTAAACACTCAAAAGAAAAGTATAACCAAAAATTAAAATAATAAGTATATTTCTTTAAGAGTCCAAAGGATTGTATTTTCCAGACTTAAGTCCAGGTAAAATGTTATTTAGAAAATGATGACTACGTTTATTTTACTTCCTATCTACTGATTCTAGCCACTCCAACAGCTATCAGAGTACCTGAAAACAAATCCTAAGTTCATCGCTCTCGAGTCCAGTCTTGGCGGCCCAAAGAAAAATGAAAAAAAAACCCAATAGATGGATGCTTTTGAAAGCCCTCATCAGAAAATTCCAATGGACTTTAAGTGTTTAAAGTTTGCCTTGTTCTGACTTTTTCTGGTTCCCTGTCTAGAACTTGTAATGTTAACTATTCTTGCCTTTATTTCTCCTTCATGTCTCAATTTGAGAGTCTTTTAAATAGGCCCACTGAAGGGGTACCCCAATTGCCACTCTCTACATCCCTGTTCAGCATGGAAGAAGCCAGAGTGGTCTGTGTCCTGATTCCCCATGGGCAAATTGGGTTACCTCTTCAAAAATAAAAAAATAAAAAAAATCCTTGCTCTCCTAGAAGCTACTAAATGAGATTGTACCTCAATTTGGCATCCCTATTGGTCTGGGATCTGACAATGGCCTGGCTTTCATAGCCTGTGTATCTAAAACCTTAGCTTCTGTCCTCCAGATAGATTGGAAACTACATTGTGTATATCAGCCCCAGAGTTCAGAACAGATGGAAAGGATGACTAGAACTATTAAGGAAACTTTGACTAAGTTAATAGCAGAGACTGATGGTAACTGGTAAGTAAGGAAGAGTAATAAGTCCTCTTCCTTTTGCCCTTTACAGGGCTTATACTGAGTTCAGTATTGTGTAACTGTATTAATTCAACAGCGAACCTAAAAATTTTATAGCTACTTTTAAAAGAGATGTATCTTTGCTCTGGAAACTGTTGTTGAATATGTTAAAACTGTAATGAAGTGCTTCTTCTAAAAAAAAGCCAGATGTACTCCTTATGTAAAAGGATTTACTCCCTTTGAGATCTTGTTTGGGTGACCTCCACCCCGTGCTCCCCACTTAGGGGAGGAAAATCTGGCGGAAATATCTAATTACAGCCTTTTACAGTCATTGCAGGCCCTGCAAAATGCTCTGAGCCAGGTACACGGACTAGTGCAGGAGGCTCATGAGCCCAGTCATCCCTCACTGACCACTGAACAGACAGATCTGGAACCTGGTAATTGGATTTGAGTCCGCAGACATCAAGCGCCTAACCTCGAACTCAAGTGGGCTGGTCCATACCCAATCATCTTACTGACTCCAACTGCTGTTAAAGTTGCTGGACATGCCCATTGGAGTCACCGTTCCCAAGTTAAGAGAGCCCATCTGGACCACATTCCTCAAACATAGACAATAAAAAGAACATACAATCCCCTCAAGGTCAGACTGGTAAAAAAATCTTAATTCTTATATTCTCCTTCTAGATAATAAAAACTGTTACTGAGTACAATGACTGAAATCCCCATGAGCCATCCCCTGATAATTGGGTATTTAAAAAAACTTCAACCTGATAATTGAGTATTAAAAAGAACTTCAGATGGTAAGATCTTAGCCACTAGCCACTCCCCTGGCTTTCTGTTTGGCCTTTGTTGTCTGGTTTTTTTTTTTTACAAGTAAGAGTAATCTGTTTTCTTTACAAGAGTAACTATTTGTGTCCCGTCTCCTCGACCCTGGGCATATGGAACTCCTAGTTATGAAAAACAGCTACAAAGCTTACAGGCTTATGGATGTCCAACAGATGAGAGTCCAAAATGTAATCATAAAAATAAGTGGCATTATGAAACTTAGTGCTGTGAGACATTCGTCTCATAGATTAAATCTAAAAATAGATAAATTTCCTTTCAGCGTGAAACTCCTAGTATAAAAAGGTAAACAGTCCCAGGGGACTATGGGAATCTCTTGATATGTCTGTAACTATTCGTGTCCCATCTCCTTGACCCTGGGGATATGGAATGCCTAGTCATGAAAAACAACTGCAAAGCCTACAGGTTTATGGATGCCCAGCAGATGGGAGTTCAGACTATAACCTTGAAAATGAATGGGTCTTGGGAAATTGTCCTAGCCATGAACCATGGGATGTGCTAATTCCAGACATTTTACATCTGGTTAACTACTTATTTTCGCTTCTGTAATCTGCTTGCTATTTTGGGTCACCTTGACACAAAGCATAAGACCACCCTGTTATTGTATGACCACCCAGTAACTGCTGATTCCAGCCTTTTTACTATACTTGTTATGGCTCGGGAGTTGACTATTTTAAAATTACAAAGTTGATTGCCAAGTTACATGACTATATCACTTGTCTGTATAATGATTGGTTGTTGATTAATAGAGTCAAAGTTCTGCTATGTTGTACAAACCTGATTGGTTCCCAAGTGTCCTGTTTGAATAATATTTCTGTAATCCTATAAAAACTCTGACCCAACAATCATCAGGGCTGCCTCTACTCTGGAGACAGACAGCCTGGCTGGTCGAAAATTAAAATTTACCTTGCTACTTTTCTTAAAGTGGTGTTGGTGATTTTTTGCAAACTCCGTCCTGTAACAGCCTTGACCTTGTTACTATGGTTCGAAATGTCCCCCACAGGATCGAAGTTTGAGTGTTTGTTCCTCACTAGTAGTGATGTTTGGGAAGCCATGGAACTTTTGGGAGGTGGGGCTTGGTTGTTGTTAGAAGCAGGTCACTATGGAGGGATGAGACTTTGAAGGTTATAGGAGGCCCCTGATTCCTGTCACACTCTCTTTGTTTCCTAGCCTGCTGTGACATGAGCATCCTCTGTAACACGCTCCTTCCATCATGAACTGAGCTGCTCTGCCAGGCTTTCCTCACCACCATGGTGAAATGAAACCCTCTGAAACTATAATCTATTATCTTTCTTCCTTTAATTTGTTTCTACTGGTATTGTGTTCATGGTGATGCAAAAGTAATATGCATGAGTTTGGGGGGCTAGGAATTTAACCTAGGGTCCCACACATGCCCAGCAAGTACTTTACCACTGAGTTCCCAGTCCTGCTGTTCTCGAGGTTTGATTCTATACTACTCTTGTGAATTGCACTTAGCTTTCCAATGTATTCTTTATTTTGGAGCCAAGACTTATTAGTTACTCTCCTCATTGCTGTGACAAAATGCCCAATAAAAGCAACTTAAGGGAAGAAGGGTTTGTTTTGACTCACAGTTTGAGGGTGCAGTCCATCATAGTGGGAAATTCATGCTGGCGGGGGTTGAGGTCACATTGCATCAGCAGCCAGGAAATTAAGAGAGAAGGATGCTGGTTCTCAGCTTACTTTCTCTTTTTAACTCAGCTCAGGACCAGTGCAAGCAATGGTGTTGTCCACATTTAGGGTAGGTCTCCCCACCTCAATTAACCCAACATAAAAACTCCTTCACAGGCATGTCAAGAGATTTGTTTCCATGGTGATTCCAAATCCAAACAAGTTAGCAACCAAGATTAACCATCACAGAGGAGAGGGCCATCATTTAACCAAAGACAGTCTGTTGCTTATTACCAGAGAATCGGTGGCTCCCACCTCTCTAGTCAGTCTTCCTCCCTTCTTCCCTCCCTTTAGCTCACCCTCCTTTTATCCATTCCTCCCCCATCTTGGAATAGTTATCTGTACATTTACTATGAAATACAGGCCCATAATGGCATTGATCATAAAAGGATCCAAAGGTGTGAATTTGTTATTCTAAGGTTCAACCCAAGTAAGTCCTTCAGGATTCCACATCATCTCTGGGCTATCTTGGACTCTGGGTCCCTAGAGGACAAATGCTGTGTCTAAGTAATATTCTGTAACTCTCAGTTTTCTACCTTGTAGACCAAAAGTTTACTAGGGGTTACATTTCCACAGAATCTCTGTCGTTTTCTTTTCTTGACCCATAAAGTGGAATTCAGAAAAGACCTTAGAGACTATCAGTCTCCCCTCTTAGGAGGTAGAGAAACAGAAGCCCAGAGAGGTCAGCTGGGTCTGATTAACCAGGCCAGGGAGAGGTGCCTTAGCGGGGCTCTTTCTAGGGCTTAATTAGATGTACAAATGGTTGCTACACGCCTGGCCTTGCCTAATGGCCTGTGTCTGGACACCTAAACAAGATTAAACTCTCCCCAGGGAGCCTCCCGCTGGTGATGTAAATGCTGGGCTTCCCTCTCCCTCCTTCTCGGACGCCCTAGAACAGAACTTGACGGTCTTTGGGGAGGATTTTTTGACAGTCACCTCAAGGGCACACCACTGCTCAGGTTAATTATGCCTAGAGTATTGTGGTAAGATCCAGGAGCAGATGCAAGGCTCTGGGTAGTTATGGAGGCTGTTCCCTCCTGTGGTGCTGCCAGTTGGCAAAGGCATTTGCATATCCAAAGCACAGAGGAGCAATGTGAAGGTTTATAAGGCAAGAAATTCACCTTCCTTAGCGGTTGTTCCGTTCTGATGGACTTAATTGCTCTGAGTCTGACAGTTCCACTCTTGTCTGCTCTCCCCAGCCGCCTTCCCCAAACTCTGAATGTGGTACAATGTCAGAGCCCATAGAAGAATCTCAGTAACACGCCTTCCAGGGACTGGGCTTGCCACTTCTCTAAGCGTCTTCATCTCTCTGGCTGTTTGGGTTTCCTCGCCGGGATTACTTCACAAGCCTCCTTCTCAAATCTGGCACATGTTTTACCGGGACAAGTGTGTACATCCTTTGCCAGATGCGTCCCCCTCGACACTCTGCTCTAATTTGCTTCAACTTGTAAGATGACACTTTTTCTGTTCCTCCAATATTGCCAGCTCTACTTTTTTCATCCATTCATTCATGTACTCACTTGAGGAAAATTCAAGGACTGCACAATGACTGAAGGAACAGGGACTGCAGCAGGACAGGAACACCCAAGGATGGCGCCCTTCATAGGGCTTATAATAGAGTGAGGAGGGTGCATAAATGAGGACGGGGTGGGGGAGAAACTTGAAACGAAGTGAAGGGCCTAAACAGAGGGCCCAAGGAGAGAGACTAAAGGGGACGCTAGCTCAGAATGGGGAAGAAAGGTGGCGTGGAGCCTGAAGGAGAGCCAGCAACCACTAGTTTCAAAAGCAGAGGCAGGCTGTTGCCTTACTTTTCCTATAGAGATGTGAGCAAACATCTATTCACCCCAGACAGGAAGGACAATGACCAAAGGAACAAGGCTTACTTGCAACCAGTGGTGTGAGTGACCCAATACAACTTCAGGACTGAAAAGTCTCACCCCAGCATGAGTAATTGACCTCCCCAAAGCTGCAGAGTTGGGGTCCTCCCTTCAGTCAGTCTTCCATTTCCTACATACTTTAGCCCCTCCAGGAGCTACATGCACCTGGGACAGGATTATATACAGTTGGGAGGAGGCACAGGAAGGAGTGGCAAGGTCTAATGAGCATTCCCTCCAATGAGGGAGCAGCAGCAGGCTTGCGCTGAGGGTCTCTTTTGGATAATCACATATGCACTGCTGCTCGGAAAGACAGGATTCCACAGCACAGGCCCACTGCAGCAGGTGAGCAGGAGACAGACAGGTTTGAGAAACTGTAAGGAGACTGGCATGATCATGGGTGGTGTGAGAGGAGAGAGGTTCCAGGGAAACTGCAAAAAAAAAAAAAGAATAGGTAATTTGGGGCCCTGCAGACTGTGAACTGGTCTAGCTTTTGTTTTAAAAACAGTGGGAAGCCACCCAAAAAGTTCCTACTGGAATGGAATGATCTGATATGGGTCTGCAAAAGATCACTCTTTCTTCAAAGGCTGATCAGCTGATTAGAACTTCAGTGATTGTGGAGAGTTTGGAATGTCGCAGGTCCAGAGCCTAATTACCATTTCTCTTGGGCCATCTTTAGCCCCCCAAATAGCCACTCCTTACCCACTTTTGTTTCTGATTTAACATCCCATGACTAACAGATAAAAACCTCTTGGAATGTATTAACTTAGCAGACCACCAGCTTCCACCAACCAGAAGGCTGAGTGCCATCAGATGGTATCTGAGGCCTGTAGCTGAGATTTCTTTTTTGCTGTAACTGCCTACTTAATGTTTCCACCAATGTATTGGAAAGTGTCTTGATTTAGACTTTTCTTTGTTCCGTTACTATAAAAACTTCATGAAACTGATTCCACACTGGAACATGGAATTTGGGGTAACCCGAATCTGTTCCTGGGCCATAGTCACTCATATTTGCCTCCAGAATTTTCTATTTCTTATCCCCTTTGAGGTGAGAGTTGTGCTTTTGCATCAACAATGGGAACTGAATGGGAGACAGCCCCACTGCTCCATCTCAGAAAGTCTGGCTGTGTGAATTCAGCACTCACCACATAGTCCTCCCACTGATGTTGATGGTC